CCGACAAATATCAACCAATTTTAGGAGCTGACCATTTTCAAACTTAGGCAAAATGCTCGGTATTAGCCCCTAAAGGCCTATTCATACTCAGCCGTGACGTGACAGTGCTGTGACCGGCACGTGATCCGCCCGAGGAAACTAAAAACATTCTTCTCGGAATTTGGATGAATTGATTCACACTAGACCGGCACGTGGAAGTGGCCGTGTTCTCAATGCCCTCGACTACGCCGTATCGTGATCATCGCATTGTTTTGAAACGTTATTTTTTGATTTTCACGGCCGTGTTTTTATGTAATTTCGTGAATATTTTGATACAATTGGTCAAAAACATGAATGATGAAAAAGTAATTGAATTTGTACGCGTACACAACGTGCTGTAGAACCAGTCAAATTCAAAATACAAGGACTTCCGCTTTCTTCTAGTTTCTTCGTCATCTCTCGTAGGTGTTAGACGGTCTGTGACTGTCGAACGCGGAGGTACCACCCGGCGGATCTCGTAGGCGGGGTCAGAATGTGTGCATGTTGCATGCACACGTGTTCCCTCGTCCGAGGGGCGTCCCGCTTTTCCCCTGTGTTCCCCCTATAGCATCACGGTACCCCATGGGTTTTTAGGCCTGAGGCCTTCGTGGTAGTTGAAATATAAAAAAATCCAGAATAAATGCAATAATTGCATTCATCCTCTGAAAATTTTGCCATCTCGACCTCACGTGAACACAACTGCACTGTCAGAGCACGGAGAAAAATTTTGACCGGTGTGAATTGCAAACACTGTGATCTCACGTCAGCGAGAATCACTGGCACGTCACGGTACTGTCACGTCACGGCTGAGTATGAATGGACCTTAATACATTATTTAAAGTTTCAGCATTGTATCTTGTATAGTTTGTTATAAATGAGCATCTACGCTTAACAGTTACTTGATAAAAACAAAAACTGTGGATTAGCTCACTTAATTTTATAAGCATCCTCTGCGGCTCTACGAGGTACCTAATTTGACGTATCGAAAAATTGGGCGTATTAGCACAAACAAAATTTCGGATGTATTTCATTATTGTTGGTTAATAATTTACACAGCCAAGATATATGTTTTCAAAAATTATCTGCTATGATCCTGTTTGTAAGTTACATTCTCTATGGCGTGCAAAAAACTGTTTGATTGCAAGTACATATAATGTGAAAAAAATGTATTTATCCAAATTTGAAAAAAAAATTGATAGCTTAAAAAAGGAGCTTTGTGGATTTGAACCTCCATCCTGCGGTTCAGAAATCACCGCTCTCTCCCACTACGCTACGACGCCTCTTGGTTTACTTGATCTTTATACCACCACACTTGACACTGACAAATGTCAAGCGAACGTTGAGTATATCAAATCTATTAGAAACAATTAGAATACGCTTGAAGACTATACAAGATACAATGCTGAAACTTTAAATAATGCATTAAGGACTAATACCGAGCAATTTTGAAGACGGTCAGTTCGCTCTAATTGGTTGATATTTGGCTACAGTTTTTATGTTTTCTCGAGTTTATTTTCTAATATTTTGAACTAGCAGTCGTGTTAATCGTACGAGATTTCGAAAACAGACGTATACTATACTAAAGCTTTTAGAAAAAAAGGTCCATGGAATTATATTCGTAAAGAAACTAGATTACGTGACCTACTTATTTGACAAAGTCATGCAGTGATCAATAATGCAGCCATTTAGCACATGCTACAAACTAACAAGGGTAAGACAGTTTGAAACATAATTGTCTTCATTTTGCGAGCTTTACTTTATAAACACGCGCACTTAGGTATCAAATATTTATTTTTATAAACTTTAGGGCTCATCTATGACCGTGTAAGAATTTCAGCTCTAAATATGTATAAACAAGAGTATGAAGAAATCTTGAAAAAAAATGTTTTCTTCGCAACAAAACGTGATGGACACATCCGCTTTGTTTAAAATGTGTAAAATAACCTATGTTTCTCGAATATCGTAGCAATTCTGTTCAATTACTCACAAATACGAAATGTTTGAATTTGTTTAGGAGAAAAAAAGGTAACCCTCGTTTTTCGCATAAAAACAAGAATTATCTTTCGGAATGGTTTGTGATTTATGTCGGTAAGGTAAACTGGTGTATTTTGCTATAAAATGCAGTTTGAACGAACCCTGTATATTGCTCAGTAAGCTAGTAGTGATGGCCGGAAGACAGGTGTTTTGGGATAAACAAATAGAAATTCTCAAAGACTACTTGATCAATCGACTCCAATTTTGTTGTGGTTAGAAGTATGAAGCCTACGGATATGAAGAATTCCAAGTAGCTGCGTGGAATTATCGTCGCATCAGCAGCAAGTGACAAAACCTGCATTTTGCCTCATTTTTCATCCATAGCTTCTTTAATATTAAACGGATCTTTTTACGTGCAGTCTCACTTTGTAGATTTCATAAATATGTACATAAAAATCTTATTTGAACAGTTTTTCCATTCCTGCCAACACTTCCGATTGAATCCCAAAAAAAACCGTTTTCTCATTCTTTGTTGTCGATTAAAAAGTTTTCCCACAAAAATTGGTGTACCCATTTTATGTGTCCATGTTTAAAATACCCCCTTGAACCACTTGCATCAATAAAACCAGACTTTACAATTATTTCGGAAACAAGGGGTATTTTCGTCTAATATGATTAGACTAATAGTCAGTGACAGCTAACTGAATAAACTAGGTCATGACTATCAGTTTGCTGACTGTCAGCCAATAGGTTGTAGGATAAAAGCAATAGTGTGGACTATTCTAATAACGCATCTTCAAATATCAAGAAATTTAAATTTCCGTTAGGGGGGTTAAAAATCCCCCCATTTTTTGATGATAAGATTATTTTGTTTGGAATAGTTTATTATTTCTAACATCGCGTATTGATTTGGCTTTGTTGAAAAACAAAGCGTCTTCCTCCTGCCATGCATTGCGGCTTACTGAACGGGTTTCAGCAGCCCCTTATAGTCATTCAAAACGGTGGACTTTGTACGGGCTGCAGATCTGCAGCACCATCTATTGGAGAGTAGCCGAATAGAAAATATATTCGTCCATACCTTTCTTAAATGAGTTTAAGGTAATTCTGTGCATTTTAACTAGACAAATGTTAAAAACTGTGATATACAACTTTTAAAAGTAAAAAATCCTTCAGTTGGACTACCATCCCATAGATCAGAGTTCCCCAAACTTTTTTGTGTCGTAGACCCCTTGCCATGTTTTTCCGTATTGGGTAGACCCCCTACTTACCTGATATTGATTTCCTGTAAATTTCTAACTGTAGTGAAGTTTACTGTTAAAAACTTAAAGTAAAAACACATGTTAATTTATACATTCATTAATTGAATTTAAATTAAAACTACTCAAAATAAAAACTTTTATCTGTTATGCAAAATATACGTAACATTAAATAAACAGGTATCTAACCAATAAGGGCCCGCATTGGGAATAAGTGCCCGCATTGAAAAAAAATAAGAGGGATAAAATAAAAAAAAGTGAAAAATAATAAAAAAAAGTTTTTTACTTAAAATAGCACAATAAGCGAGTTCGTTTATTAATTATAACATAAACGTATGTTCTACAATAATTTCACTGTTAGTTTGATTAAATTCCGCTTCTTATACGTTTAAGTTATCTAAAAATAGGCAAAAAATTAACGAATTTTAGTGTGTACCCAGCCTTCAATTTTCAGGATAATTTTAAAAAAATATTTTCTATAAAGGGGGGTTCTATAAAAAAATCAATGCGGGTACTTATTCCCAATGCGGGCATTTATTGGTCAGACACCAATAAACATAAAATAAACTATAAATAAAATAACATAAGCAATAAGTCAATATTTTTAGTGAGAAGGATGAACCTGATGCTTTAATAATAAATTATCAACATTTGGCGTCAATTTTGTAAGGGTTAATCTTAAATCTCCTCGGCTAATGATGTCCAGTCTGTTTCTTTTTCTCGTTAGCAGATTGGTAACAGCGCTGAACCCCCTTTCCACTAGGTATGACGATGGAAAGAAAATTAAAAATTTCCTCGCTATATTCCATAATACGGGATAAGTAACAGGTATGTTGTTTTGCAGCCAGAATTGCTGATATCCGTTTTAAACTGAACCTTAAGTTCTTCGTTTGTACTTAGTTCAGTCAGTTCCTCTTGTATTATGACATTCGTTTCTTCTATGTCACCATATGGATTAATTATCCACGGTGGTATTACCCTAGTCAAAATATCCTCAAAACCTAGATTCAAAATCTGAATAGAGGGCATTTAAATGTTGAACGTAAGTTGAAACGTCGTCTTCCTGGCAGCTTGTCTGTGACAAATTGGGGAACTGAGAAAATTCGCCCCGTCCAATATTTTGCTTCATTAGTTTAACTCTGGCAAGAAACGCTGATAAGATGGACTTTGTTTTAATCAAATTTAAAATGTCGCCTTGGAATTGCAAATTAACCATATTAAATTTTGTAAACAAATATGTTAAATAGGCGATGTCTGTTTTCCTCTTCATTAAATTTTCTTTTAAAATTCTATCTTTAGTATCCAGAAATTCTAAAATAGTGTCAAAAAGTGCAAAAAATCTTGTCAAACATAAGCCTTTCGATAGCCAGCGTACTTCAGTGTGAAGGAGTAATTGATGAAAGTGTTGCGTCATTTTCTTCACACAACTGCGCAAATAACCGCACCGCGTATTCAACGCGTTGCTTCGGATTCGGTTTACTGCATCAATGACTAAATGAAGTGATTCATGCAATCTAACACTCAAATTTTTAGCAACTAAATGTTGTCGATGGATGACGCAATATATTGCTAACACCCCTGACACATTTTGTTTTAAATAGCTTATAAATCCACGATAACGTCCAACCATGGTAGCTACTGATATTATATTTGATAAAGGAATTGCTTTTTCAATGAAGTAATCCTTCAAAACATGAAATATTGATTCACCTTTAGTGTCGGTTATCAAAGTTCTTGCGAAGAGCAGTTCTTCGTAGATTTCTTGATTCATAATAAAACGAACATATGCCAATAATAATGCTGCATTATCAGGTAAAGTTGACTCGTCCAGTCGTATAGAGAAATGGGTCGTTTGCAAATAATTACATAAGAAGCTTTCAATATCAGAACTCATTTCATCAATACGTCTTTCAACAGTATTGTTGCTTAAGGGAATTCTTTTAATGATATCAGATGCAGGTTTGTGTAAAATAGTTTTTAAAACCTCTTCAACGGCTGGCAAAATTAACTTCTCTCCGATAGTATGCGGTTTTCTGGATTTTGCTATAAGCCATCATCATTTCTTTGTGACGTCGAAGCGAACATTCTGTCCAGTGTAGGTCTCTTCTGAAATTTATCTTTGAGTGTTTGAAAGTATTTCAAATCTTTCTCTGTTTTATCAGGGTGGCATCTTCTCAGATGATCTTGCAGTTTAGATGGTTTCATAGCGTCATTGCCCAAAACTTTGTTGCATAAAAGGCACATAGGCGATTGTTTGTCCGGCAATGCTAATTGTTTGTGAAAATGACATGCATGATTACTGGTTCCAACAGGATGGCTCCACATGCCACACAGCTCAAGCAACAATCAATTTATTGCAACCATTGTTCCCCTGGACGACTGATATCGAAAAATGGCGATTTTGACTGGCCACCGAGATCACTTGATTTGACGCCACCAGACTTTTATTTGTGGGGCTATTTGAAATCCAAGGTATACGCCAACAAGCCAAGGACTCTAGTAAGAACAGTATTCGTCATTATTGCCGCCATATCGGCCGAAACATTGGCCAACGTGATGGAAAACGCCGAAAAAAGGGCACATTTGGTAATAAAGGCCAAAGGCGGCCATCTGCGCGATATCATTTTTGAACAGTAATTACAACAAATCTCCTTGGATCAAAATTAAAGACTTTTCAAATGAACAAAAAAATATTTTTGAACGTATTTTTCATAAACAAATGCTTCCACTTTAAATGGCCCACCGTGTGTACTGTAGATCATTTTGGATTAATAAATGAATTGAAATGAATTTGTCCCGAAATCAAGATTTTCCGTTGCGCTAGGTTTGTCGGTTTGCCGAGCACCCAAAGATAGGCACATGACTTCTAAAACATTCTGATATCCATGGTTTGAAGTTTTATCTTGACTTCTACACGTATTTCGGCATTGCTGAAGGATTTTCGGGAAAGTGACTTTTGACCAGGAAAAAAGGCTGAATTCACCATAGTACGACAGTTACTGATTGCTGTGCGGCTGAATGTTATCTCGCGCATGCCACATTTTTTTACTGTTTGGTTTTACCATATAAATAAAATAACAATTTAAGTAAGATATCATATTTATAAATTAAACACCGGCCGTAACAAGTTGATATTGATTCTGACCCTTATATAATAAGTATCCTTGTAAATTAAGAGTTTGCAAAGCATGATAAAACTTCTTGTTATCCATGCCCAACTGCTCGCTGAGTTCTTTGAGCTCTTTAGTTCTGAAGACAGATTTTGCTTCAGCATCCGATTTTCTTTGTATTGAGGTGAGCAGTCTCACCACCTAGAATAAGGAAGAACATTTTTTTCAGATAAAAAAAAGGAAACCAATCAATATAATAGTATTGTGCTATCTTTACCTGGTTTTTAGTACTCATGCCAGTACCAATTTGAGACCTAGACTTATCTAAGATCCCGGTACTATCAGTAAACACATCAACTAAACTGAATTTCATTATTTCAATCACATCTTTGGCGTCATCCTTAGTAGCTTCCTCTCTTAATTCAACCTTTGCTCTGGCCTATAAGTTATAGAAAATAATATACTTAATATATTGAGTGAAGAAAAAAGTGTAAACACCTACGTATGTTTATTAGAATTCAAGAATTTTTTAGATATCGATTTATCTTGCCATGAACAACAAGTGATAAAATGGTCAGGTTTTTCTGTCAAGTTTTTGTGGTAGCTGCGTGTATTGCTTGGTGAAAAAGAAGCATTCAGTTTTCGTACATTTACGGTGTCAGTTAAATGTTAAATTTCGTGTAGCTTATCGAGAAGCCTTTTTGTGATTGCCTAGAGTGCGTCGAATTCGCCGGGTGTCCCAGATAATTGACTTTGAGAGGGGTCGAATTGTCCGGTTGCGGGAAGCCGGTCTATCGATAAAAGTTTCTAGGAGGACCAACAGATCCTTGCGCAGTATACTGCAGTGTGAACGAGTGTGGACTCAGGGAGGCGGAGGACAGCAAGCGAGGAGTTCTGGACGTCCCAGAGAGATCACAAAGCGACAAGATCGCCGGCTAAGACTTCTGGCTCTGAGAGACAGATTCTGTAGTACTCGTTTGTTTCAGATTTATTTAGTATTAATGCTACAATATCCATATTACACAGTATGTCACAAAATATATTACGTCTTCAAGACTATATATTTTTATACAAAATTTCACTACTATGAATTCTGGTTTTCCATTAGATGTTTTTTCAATTTCCCTTTGAACATTTTCAAACTGACACACATCTTGATATCATTACTTAATTTATTAAATTCGTACAATCCCTTTTGAAATACTGACTTTCTTGTTATATTGCTACTGCAGTTTTGTAAATGAAAGTCTATACTTCGTCTAGTAGAATAATTGTGGCACTCATTGTTCAATACAATAAAATTTTCCAAGTGATTTGGTAGAAGATGATTTTTTAACTTGAATATGAAAATGAAAACCAAGTAGGCTATGAAATTTTTGATATTTAACCATTAGCTTAATGACATTTATTTCGTGAATGATGTGGATATTAAAGTCTCTATTTTTACTGGCCGTCTTCTTTATCTATTCGATCTCTACGCTCCGCTACGTACAGTACGTGTCACAAAACCTGCTGCGCCCTGGCTCACTCCTAACTTGAAAATGATTTTTCAACTCAGAGATGAGGCATTCGCTGTCTATCAGCATAACAGATCTGATCAGAATTGGGCCAGCTACAAAGATTTGAGAAATTATGCCCTTGCATCGCTTAGAAGAGAGAAAAAAGCATATATGTCACGTTTTCGGAATCTTAACTCTAGTCAAGCTTGGAAACACCTGAGGAGGATGAATGTGGTAGCCCAGAAACATGTTGCGATACCTCCCAGTCTCCTTGAGCCTAACATTTTAAATAATTATTTTCTTTCAATTTTCCAGACAGCTGCAGCTGATACAAATTTGATTGATAGTGTCTCTAACTCTTATAGCGATAGACGCCATACACCGGATGCACCTCTGTTTGCTTTTAAACTCCTTACTCAGCAAGTCATCGTCAATATAATCTCTCACATTAAGTCTACGGCATGTTTCTCTGATGGTCTAACTTTAAATATGGTTTGCTTATGTTTGCCTGATACCATAGACCATATAACTCACATTATTAATGTCTGTCTCGAAACAGGTTACTTTCCTGCCAGTTGGAAAAATGGTATTATTATTCCAATAGCTAAAACTAATCATCCAGAACAATATTCGGATCTCAGGCCAATTACCTTATTATGCTTTCTATCAAAAATACTCGAAAGAGCTGTCTACTCACAACTAGTGGAGTTTTTCGAACAAAACCACTTATTTCCTCTACATCAGTCAGGTTTCAGAGCTGGTTACAGCACTACTTCGTCTTTATTACATCTTACTGATTCCATCATTCACAATTTAGATAATCACATCAACACCGTCTTGGTACTGTTAGATTTCTCGAAAGCCTTTGATATGGTCAATCACCAGATACTACTGAGTAAGTTATCTCATTATGGAATGTCAGATATAGTTCTAAGGTTCTTTGAGTCATACTTGCTAAATCGTCAACAAACAGTGAAAACTGATCAGGGAATTTCCTCCTCTGAGCCAGTTCCTTCGGGAGTTCCTCAGGGCTCAGTATTAGGTCCCTTACTATATCTGATTTATACGATCGATCTGCAAGACTGTTTAGTCCACTGTAGTATGCAAACTTATGCAGATGATACTCAGTTAGTGTTTGGTTTCGATCCATCAAAGGTTGATGAAGTTTCTTTTAAAGTTAATTTAGATTTGGCTAACATCGGTGATTACTGTAACAAACACTGCTTGAAGATCAATCCTAATAAAACTACTGCAATCTTGTACTGTTCGAAGAACTCCTACCATGAAATGAAGCAGAGGATTTGTGTTTTTTTTAGATGAGACACTCATCCCTTTTGTGGATTACGCCAAGAATCTCGGTGTTACCCGTGACTTAAATATGAGATTCGATCGGCATGTCTCTTTCTTATCTAGAGTAACGTATTTGCGTTTGAAACTCCTCTATTCTAATCGATACATCTTGAATTTTAAAACCCGAAAAAAGCTTGCTGAAAGTCTTGTGTTGTCTGTCATTTCTTACTCTCTTGTTCTGTATTACCCATGTTTAGACTACGTCCACAAAAGGAAACTCCAGAAAATTCAGAACAGCTGTTGTAGGTTTATTTTTGGATTGCGCAAGTTTAGTTGCGTCTCAGATAAAATCAAAGAACTCAACTGGTTACGAATTGATAAGTTATTTTTATATCTTTTGACCGTCTTCACGCATAAAGTTCTATTATCTAACACACCAGCTTACCTCGCTAGCAAATTAGTTCACCGAGGTAGTTTTGTTACCAGAGCGCTTAGATTTAATACTAATTTTAACATGCCTCCTCACAATACCTCGGTCTTTGAAAGAAGTTACACCTATAATGCTGTCAAGCATTACAATGCAGTCAACAGTGGCTATCGATCCAAACAGGTTGTTTCTTTTAAGAAATTAATGAAAAGTCAGCTGCTGGAGTCCATTTAGTTCAGTTTTTCTTGTGCTCTTTTTTTTTGTTTGACTATTTTCTACTATTTTTGTTTCAAATTTAAAACTCTCGCAATGCTATCTGCATTTGTCTCGTGCAATCAATGTTGTCATTCTTATGAATTGTATTTTTTTTTTTTGGTATGTTATTATTTTGTTTATGTGTGTAAGTATTCTTTTTTCCTGTTGTGGGGTTGAGTGTATGAGTAGCCGTCTGGCTAAACTTCGCCTCACTGCAGTTAATAAAGGCATTATTATTATTATTATTATTATTATTATTATTATTATTATTATTATTATTCTTTCAGCATAAAATTTATTCTGGTATATTTGTTTTTATTTAAGATGATTCTCAAAGCTTTATTTTGTAATATTTGTAATTTTGAAAATAGAGTTTCATTTGCAGTGAACAAAATAGTCGAACAATATAACAAATAAGGAACAATGATAGTGTTGTACACAATTTTTTTAGAATAAACGCTTAAGCTATGCGAAATTCTATAAAAGTAATTTATTTTCTTTGATATTTTTTAAATAATATATGAATATTCATAGTGCCCTTCAAATTTTAATTTACCGTATACGTATATGCCCAAATATTTAAATGATTCGATTGACACAATTTTTTCATGATTAATTGTAAGATTTATCGTATTTTGATCTAATGATTTTCCTGTTAGCATATATTTTGTTTAATTTGAGTTTATTTACATTTATCCAATTTATAACGTTTTTCATATCATTATTTAACAGCTCTATTGCAGTTTCAATGTCTTTATTTGATATATGTATTAATGTATCATCAGCAAATAGTTGAATTTTGCAGTGTTGTAAAATATCAGGAATATCGTTAATATATAAAATAAATAGTAATGGACCTAATTTGCTACTTTGTGGCACACCTACCGAAATGTTTTTAATGTTTCATAATGTAATTTCAGTTCTTTGACTTCTATCGATTAAATAATTTTGTAATAAGTTGAATACTGAACCTTGAAACCCATAGCAATGCAATTTCATTAACATTTTCTCCCTGTTAATAGTCGCAAATGCTCTCTTGAAACCTAAGAACAATGTTACTGTAAACCTTTTTTCATCCATATTTCGCCTCCATTCTTCTACTACCATTTGAATTGCTGTTTCAGTAGAATACTTTTTTCTGAATCCTGCTTGAAATTTTGTCAATATCTTATTTTCTTCAATATATTCAATGACTTTTTCATATATTATTCCTTCTAAGAGCTTCTCGACATCTGGCAGTACATTAATTGGCCTCATGTTTGTATATAACTCAGAATTTTGCACTTTTAGAACAGGAGTAACATTTTAATTTTGAAGGAAATTTGCCATACACTAAACAGTGATTCACTAACAATAATACCTTTTCTCCAATAATGTTGAAACATTCCTTCATAACCATTTTTGAAAGATGTTTACAAGGATTTCTATTCTATTTCAATCTTGTAATAGCTTTTGAAAGATGGCTGATATTTATTGTTTGGAATTGTCTCATAGAAGAATTATAAGTAACTTGCATGTGACATAGATTTGGATCCCCATCTTCGATTGATTCCACTATCTCATTTATACTTTCTATAAAATAAGCGTTCATTCATTCTGCAATCAATATCGTTTGCGTTAGTATACCATCTTCGAAGCACATTCTTGATTCTTCCTACTGGGAGATACAAGATTTCCACATCATTTTAACGTTATTTTTATTGCTATCGATTTTGTTTTCATAATATTTTTTCTTTTCGTTCCCAAGATTTGTTAAACACTTGTTTCTAATCATATTAGCAAATTTCCCCGAAATAATTGTAAAGTCTGGTTTTATTGGTGAAAGTTGTTCAAGGGGCTATCTTATACATGGGCGCATAAAATGGGTACACCAATTTTAGTGGGAAAACTTTTTATTTAAAAACAAGGAATGAGAAAACGTTTTTTGTGAGTCAATCGAAAGTGTTGATAGGAACGAAAAAACTGATG